GAACCAAAGCAGCAAGCAGGCTGTAAAGCCAGATCAGGGCTGATATTCCCTCCGTGGCCCTGTGCTAGCACACAGAGCAGCCTATTAAGGAATCATCTCCCCCAGGATCCCTGGCCCCAGCGAGGATCAGCCTGGCTGCATCGCGGCGGAGCCGAGCCCGGCAGCGCCCGGAGACAGAGCGGGGACCCCGAGGTGCTGGGACAGGGGGGTGGCAGCGGGGCTGGCACGGGGGTGAGCACAGCTGCTGCCCTCCCACCGGGCTGCAACCTGCTGCTCAGGGCTGGCAAGTCACTGCTCTCACCTTACCTTCTGCAGATTGCTTTGACACTCATTCTTAGCACATCTTAGCACAGATACATCTTCCCACAGCTCAAGATGAAGAGCTGGGTGTGATGTGATGGCCTAAATGTGATGGCCCTGTGCTGGTGGCTGATGGTGTCTGTGTGGGCTGTCCAGGGGTGAGCACTGGCCACTGGGCAGTAGGGCCAGCTTGGGGCTGGTGGCTGCATGCATCTGTAAATGTGAGGCCTGTGGGGAAACTGAGGCAGCTGAGGAGGAACATGACCCAGGATTTGGGAAATGGTCCCCACAGGTGCTACTGGGTGTCTGGAGTTCACATGGTAGCTCAGGCACCACAGTGAGTTCTCAGTCCTGGGGATGTGGGGGCCAGTAAGGAGGGGAGAAAGAGAACGGCCCTTGCCACTGCTTGTGTCTCTCCCCCTCCCAAGCAGATTGCACCCCCTCTCCCTGTCCGCACACTTTTTTTGTGTCAGTTTCTCACTTTTGAGGCCTGCATTAAATTTCTCCCAGCCCTCAGGGAGCTCAGAAGGGAATTCAGATGCTGTAAGTAAAAGCTGCAGCATCCAAGCAGCATTCCTGCTGGGAGGGTTTGTGTCACAACAGCTCAGCAGCTCACTGATACATCCCTTGGGCATGCAACAAGTCCCTGTGCAAACCCAGTGCAGCAAAGAAAAGGCATGGGGAAGGAGGAGGCTGATGCCGAGGCAAGCTCCTTGAGCCACTTGTAAAATTCTCTGTGTTTAAGGGTCTCTGTGTGCGGTTTTCATTGGAGTTTTCCTCTATCTACAGCAAAAGAAATAAGCTGAATCTATGGTCTCTTCTACAAACCTTTCTGTTTCAGTCAGGTGGAGTCAGTGTGGCTCTTTTTTAATCCTGAATTGTGTCCTGCATGTGTACCTTGCAGTTCTGAACTGTTTGTATGTACAAACTGAAAAGTAAAAACCAGAAACATTGCATCCATTTTTGAGATAAAATTCGACCTCGGACAAGGCTAATAGCTCCCTCCAGCCTCAGGGATCCAGATGAAGTTTCTCAGAGCTGATGGCCATGCCCACCTCCTGCCAGAACCGACGGGAGCAAGGTAGCAGCACAGATTGCTGGCCAGTGCCACCAGCCAGAACACCTCCTTGTGCCCTGAGGTGCTGTGTGCTGCAGGGATGTGCTGCTGATGACACTGGGCACTACTGGGGCAGAGCTGGCCTGGTCCTGAGCTGCCTTTAGAGTTTGGAGCAGACATCTGCATCTTTGCAGGACCGAAACTGTACAGCCCAGAGGAAGAAATGTAACAATTTTCCAGATTCTTCCTCCTCCCTTCTAAAAGGAATGCCTTGAGTTTAAAACAAAGCAGTTCATTTAAAACAAAAGACTAATGAATATGACCACCCTTGCTCTTTTGCAAGTTTAAACACCTCATCTTTCCTCAAAGAACAGCTCTAAATAATTTTATTTGCAAGCCCTAAGCAGGAATTTATATTCATGGTAAGACATTTATTGAGTTAATTTATTTAATGCTAGGGCATAATTTCTAATAGTGGAGGAGTCCCTAGGCCCAGTGCAATTGTCTCCCTGTTAGGGCATTAATATTTAAAGGAGTTATAATATTATGTCAATTGATCTGTGTCTTTTAGGAAGTAGGTTAGCAGTTATTGATGGTCACTTGTGTGAAGGATTAGCTTAAATAAAGCTGGTACTTGGCAGACCAATGCCTGCCCCCCGGCCAAATCCCAGGCCCCGGCAGGGAGGGGCGCAGGGTCTGGGGCAGTGGATCCGAATGGAATGTGGAGGATGCGGAGGGAAATAAGGCAGTGCACATCTGGAGGGTGCTGCTGTGGCTGCTCCGCAGTGCGGGCTCGGACGGCAGCAGGGGAACGCTGCAGTGCCTTGGTGCGGCTCCAGCGCTGTCAGCATCTCCTGGAGAGGCGTGAGCCTCCTGTGATCGGAGCAAGGAGCTCTTGGTACGTGTTCTGCAGGGGCTTGTTCATCTTGACAGACAGTCTTACTGATGACACTTAAGACAAATAACTTGACCTCTGTGTACCTTAATTTCTCTGTTCTTAGAGGTTGGGAACATTTATGCTATTTCTTGAGTGATTTAAAACAAGAACTGTTCTGAATTTTAAAACTTCTTGCTTGTTTTACTACTGTATTAAATTCCTTATTGCACTAAGAAACATGGTGCTGAATGGCCTTTAAAAACAAGGCAATGTGGAAACCAATGCAGACGAAATACCTTTGTGCTTATTGTAGATATTGAGTATTTATGGAGGAAAACTCAATGTTGGCGTGGAAGGATGTGCAGCTGCAGTGCAGCCTTTACTGTGCTGCCTGCAAGAGCAAAATAAATGTGGGCTGTGGAGGTGCTCAGGAGGGCATGTGGCTCATTTTCCCCCAAAACTTCCTGCAGTGAGGAGTGTTTCACTGCCCTGCAGAAGCGCAGACTAATAGATGTGTAAGATGAATGATTGTGTCTGAACTGTGCTTCTCGAGGCCCTATCTCCTATTTTTTCTTTACGTGCTTATCTGTCAGCGCATTGTCAAACCTTCAGTTAATGCCACTTGCAGCTCCTTTCACCCTCCCTTTCGTTCCCTTCAGCCCTGCCGGCTCCTTTCCCGTGCTGGGCAGGTGCTCAGCCAGAGCAGAGGCACAATAAAGCGATCCTGTCCATCACTCCTTTCCTGCTGGGAGAGGTCAGCGCGTCCCTGCTGCTTCTCACCCTGTAGGGGTGGCCCGGGGCACGCAGCGACTGCGAGCGCAGGGATTGAGCGCTGAGCTCCCCCAGCTGTGCCTGCCAGCACGGGGCTGCAGGGGAAACCAGCTCCCTTTGTCATGAACATCACAGATGGCCAAGGACAGTAATCCTGAATTACTAGGGGAACTGCACAGTTTGACATTTACCTGTTACCTGGAAGCTTGGAAGAAAAATTCCCACGTGTTCACTGAGGATTTTGTGACCGTGTGTTTGCTGTAGCCTCTTGGTGTATTGACTATGCCCTTTGTCACCCAACAGTGTTTAAGGCTACATTTTTCTGTGAAAATGAAACCCTTTACTGGACATAAAAACATAAATACACAACCTTATTACAATTTCTTCCCATTACTGGTAATCTCTTTTGAAAGCTCCTGCCCTCTAACAGCAGAATTGCTGTTGTATTAACTGACACACTGAACAGTGAAGAAATACTGTGGTTATATTCAGCTCTGGGCACTGGTGTCACCTTTCTCTTGCCCAGGAGTACTCATAGATTTCTATTTCACTGTCTCCCAGTCTTTAGTACATTTATTGTCTTTACAGTCATCCTGTGCAAAACATGGGATATTCATTAGGGATGCTCATGAGGGGTTCCTCAGCTGAAGTTCATGAAGTCTCGTTCTTTAACTGTAGTCTGATTTGTAAAATTAACTTCTTTCTACAAGTTTTTTTTTTTTTAACAACATGGACCAATCTTCCTTCTTTTCAATCAAAATGGTGGTCTAATGTTGCTGTGAGCAGGAAAATTATTCTCTCTCCGGTCCTGTATCCTCACATTATAGTGAGGAGCCCTTGAGAACATCTAGAAACATCTGAGTACCATTTCAGAGAATGAGCTAGAAGAGCAAAGCCTTGCTGGAAATTCAGATGTGGGACTGGTATTAGAGCATACTGTGTTTTGAAAAAACTCCATCCTTTCTCCAGTGGGATGCCCTGCATTCATAGTACTTGAATGATCAGGTGTTTTACTGGCTCAGTGTGGGCAAACTTGTTATTTCCTGGTGCTCTGCTTGTCCCATGGCAAAGTACCAGAGCTGTGCATCTGGCTGAGGAGGCAGAGTGTCCTCTGGGCTGTGGGAAGCTACTACAGGAAGGATCTAACCCAAGCAGAAAACTCATGATGTTTGGGTTATTATGGTGCAGCCACATTGGAAGCTGAGGCTCTAAATGCCATGTGTGATGAGAGAGGTGCTAGGTCTGAAAAAAGGTGTGTGACTGGAGCAGCACTTCCAGCAGGAAGCTGGACATCAGAGTGGAGCAGAGCACAGCTCAGAGCTGCCACTGTGGCACCTGCTCCAAGGCTAGCACAAGCCCGAGGAGTCTTGGCCCAGCAGCCAAACTTGTTCCACTCCCAGGAAAGTCAACGAAACCGCTTTGAAGTGCAGTGACCTCATGCTCTGCTGCATGCTGAGCGGCTTGCCAGCACTGCTGTTAATAGCAGGGGTTTATCCCATATACAATCAATGGAGCACAGAGTTACAGCACTTCTGTGAGGCTGGGCGGGGGAGCCTGGGACTAAAAGAGGCTGAAACTGCCATCTGTGGGCAGGATCTCTCTTGGCTTCAGAGTCAGACTGCTCTGAGAGCTACCCACACATTTTCCTATTTAATCAATTCATTCCCGTGGTGCCATTCCCAATACCAACTAATTGCCATCCCATACTGAGAGGAGAGGAGCTAGAATTTGTCGAGGACTTCAAGACCTGAGTTGTCACCAAGGCTTTTTATGTGGTAAGTGACAGAACATGCTGAAAAATTATACTAGCCAGGAAAAAGGGCAGAAGCCATTGCATATCAGGCATGTTAAATACCACTCTCTAATGGTTCTGACTGTGCAGCATTTCTTCTCCCTGTCTCCTTCCCTTAAAATAATTTCTCTTAAACCACAAGACTTTGTCTTTCTTTTCCTCTTCACAGACAAGCAGAGCAAATACAGAAGCAATCTCCAGACATGTTGTGCAGATATTTTTCCTTCTTCGGTCTATGTCTTTTCCTTCCAACCCAAAGGTAAGTGTAGGGTTTGTTTTGTTTTAAAGGGAACATTTGAATGATGTTTCACATAAATAATAAGGGTCAAAAGGAAACTATGCTTCCAGTTATCCAGCCCATCCAAAGGTAGCAGGGTGCAGTCAAGGATGTGGTATAGGAGAGAGCAATCTGCATAGGTCCCTAAACCACATTATGTTCATGAAGAGTGCAACCCCTGATCTCCTGTTCAGAACCAGCACGGGTTGTAGTTTTTTACGAGAAATGCCTCCCACAGGGCTCCCAGCTCTGTTATTACCATCCTTGGTAGTACAAGTCCCACATTTGCTGAAGTATTTATATATATAGTGTGCAAAACCTGATTCTGCTGTAAGGTCCTGTTTAGTCTAAATCCTGCAGCTCCAAGGCGCTATTAACCCAGCTGTGAAGGAAACAGAAGAAAAACCCTTGGTGAGAGCTGTGAGTAACTCCATGGCTGCTTTCTGCCAGAGCAGGGTCCTGGCATTGGGAGCAGCAAAGGCTCTGCCTCCCACCTCCTCCTGCCCAAAGCAAGAACAAACTCCTAACCCTTCACTCAGTTACACTTTTCTCAGGTGAGGCTGTGCCACCCTGCACCTCAACACTCACCTTTTACCCCAAACCCCATCCCTCTCACTGTCTGTGTGAGGGTACAGATCTGTCAGCCTCATAACACAGCTTCTGCCTTCAATGACCAGCCACAAAATGTAAATTTTGACATTGTAATCTAGAGTTGGACCCTCAGTATACCCAGCAGCTGGAGCAGCACTGCCCACAGAGCTGAGGGGGTGTCTGTGAAGTGCACAGTCCTCCACCCTTCCCCTCCAGTATGATTCCTGACAGCAGCTGTAGAAGCTGATACTCACATGTTATGAGGATGAAGCTTATTTAGGGGACTAGAAATTAGAGAGGAGGAGCTGTTGGGCTGTAAGATTTGTCTCAGGTTGTTATAAATGGAAGGAAAAAAGAAAATAATATTCCTTATATAGACTGTACAAGAAAGAGTGGGAAGGGGAGATGGGGGTTTACTTCTCAGGTTTGTGATCTACAGATCTTACTTGATTTTCTGTTTGAACAGAACATTCTTAAGATACCGTGTGTACAACCTGTAGGTATCAGCCGAGACAATTTGCCATTTTTCCACCTCTTGAAGGTGCTAATTATTCAGCCAGCACAGCAATGTGAGCAAATGCTTGTGATTTCAATTATCTACTTTGTTTTAATAACTATTTTATACTGTTTGTTCGAGCACAAGCTGGAAGCAGCTGCAGCTGCACACCAGATGTGCCCAGCCCAGCATGTAACAGTTGGTGTTTGTGTCCCCAGGAGCTCTCTGGGTCATGGATCCAGCTTGCATGGCAGGGGCACAACGTCCCTCCCTGGATTTGAGAACCTCACCATGGGGTACAACAAATACCTTCGGCCCTACTTTGGTGGTATGTTGGCTCCATACAAGGGAGCATTTAAAATCGGTCTATAACGTTCATGTGGAGGGGAGAGCAGGCTTTAACCTTGCTGCAGTTTCAGAAGTTGTGTTTCTTTTAAATCTTTTAAATTGGTGTCCCAGGCTGCCCTCCTTTCTCTGCAGCCACTATGTCTTGAATAGCTGGTGCACATACGTGTGGGGCTTGGGAACAGGTCCAGCCGTGAGGTGAAGAGCAGGGAATTTATAAACTTTAACACCTCTATGAAAGACTTGACTAAATAATTAAATTCTGCTCTAACTGTACAAGCTTTTGTTTAGAGGCTGACCCTTGTGATTCTATGCTTTACTTTTGGTCGTGTACAGCTATTATAGCTATTTATGCAGCTATAGAGAAACAAAGCCATTCTTCTTGCCAGGAACTTCTGACACATGCTTTCACCTCACACTGTGACACAAATCTGTTTCAAACCCTAGTGAGACTGGGGAGCTGGAAGCAGGCAGGAATTTAGGAACTTATCTGAGGCTATCCAGCAATTTGGGTGTCAGGTCTCCTACCTTCCAGGTTAGTGCTGTCATCACACAGGAACAGGTTTCTCAGAATGACATTCAGAACCTGAAAAGTATCATTGAAAGTTTAAGAAACAGCAATGACTGCTTTTATTTCTATTAATTTTGGTTTTGTGCCTGAACAATTAATGAAGCCCCGCCTGACAGAAAAATTTCCCATCAGCTTTCACAAGGCCATGGATATTTCCCATTGTAGACTGACCTGCTGCTACTGACAGTCCTGAGCTTCTTCCTTTTTCTGGCCATGGTAATAAAAGTCTGAGACAATACAGAATTTACCATCTTGCTCTGCCTAGAATGGCTGGCCTGTTGCAGGACTAGAAAAGCTCCTCTAAATCCTGTGACACCATTGAGCAGATGCTTCTCTACAACAGAACAGAGATTCACTGCCTCTGCAGCAAATGTTAAACAAAACCAGCCGGGACTCTGGTGTGACCTCCCCTGGAGGCCGAGTCCTCACAGTTGTGCCCTGAGGTCAGTAAATGCAGTGGGCTTGAGTCGGAATAGACAGAGACGTGAACAACAGCTGCTTTCAAAAATACACATCTTCTGCAAATGAAATGAATTTATGAACTGTTTAAAACAAACAAAGCCAAAACCACCTGGAAAGAGTTTCAGAGGTGTGTCCATAGGTCGTTCCTCACTGTGATTCATACGATGAAGAGCCGTTTCAGCAGTTCCTCGAGGAAAGGCGCCGCTCTGTCGTGGCGCAGGCAGAGGGGGCCGTGCCGGGCCCGGGCCGCGCTCCCCGGCCCGCCGTGGGCCGTGTCGCGGCCGGCGCTGCCCTCTCGCGGCGGCTCCCGGCGCTCTCGGTTCGCGGATCGCTCGGGCGGGAGCTGGAGCCGGGCCGAGGCCGCTGCTCCTCCGCGTTTCAGGAGTGCCTGTTCTCGGGAACCAGGGACCTTCTCTCCTCTCGGTGGCTGCTCCCCAGAACCGGGGCTGCCCAGCACTCTGAGCTGTGGAAGTGCTCTGTGCAGAGGTTCCTGGCCTGGCTGCTCCGTGCCTGGTGTGGGCTGGGATCAAGGGACAAAGCGGCCCTGGCTGCCTGTCCAACGGCAAATGTCCCTGAAATGCTGCAGATCCAAACTGCTGAGCTTTGCAGCCAGTGCTAATGGGTATTTGCCCTCTGCTACCACCGCCAAACATAGAACTCCAGCTCCCTAACAGTGACAGCTGCATTTCGGATCATAGAATTTGTGAGCCTAATGCTCTGAAACGGTGTCTGACCTCTGGGGCTCTGCAGCTTTAGTGACAGTGAGTGAGGCTCAGGACAGTGCCCACCCTGCACAGAATCCTGCGTGGCTTTACTGTGCCCTCCACACTTCTCTCTGCTGATGCATTTCATTCCCTCTGCAGGAGAACCTGTACAAATTGCAATGAGTCTGGACATTGCAAGTATTTCTAGTATATCTGAGAGTGACATGGTAAGTGAAAAAACTTTTCTTTTACAAGATAAGATTGAGATATGCCTTAGAGACTTCAGATGTATTCCTGTGTGTCCAGCACAGAAAAGGTCATTTTGAAACTGCTTTGCTGTTTGGGGGCTGTTGACCACTTTCAGCAGTGGGATGAAAACAAAGCTCTTTTATGACTGCACACTGTTGTCCTAGATTAGGGCAAATTTGGGAGGAAACTCCCAAGGGCTCCTCTAGAAAGCAGATTCAAGTGGCCCCTCCCCCAACTGGTTCGGGAAAATATTTTCTTGGAGATAAGTGGAAAAACAAGCAGAGAAACAAGCAAAGTATTCACAAGCATAAAAAAATAATAATATTAAACAATAAAACCTCTAGCTCTTCTGAAAAGATGGCAAATTCAGAAAGTCCTTTTCATGGGCTGTAGCTTGGCTCACTCAGTCTATTACCAATCCCTTCGGCACTGGAATGCTGCGTCCCAGCCCCGGTGGGCCACAGGCGTGAGCTCCTGGTGTTTTTCTAGGTTTCCAGTACGTTTGAACAGTTCCAAGAAAAAGGAAAAAAACACAGTGAAGGGAACTTATCTGCCTCTGCTAGCTAAAAATAGTAACTCAAAGCAAAGGAGAGCTCTCTCCCGCTGTCTGTGCTGTGGACAACACAATCCAGTCCATGAAAAGGAACGTGGAGGGGTGAGTGCAGTTTCTGAAAACAAACTGCACACTTCTTTTCCCCCCCTTCACTTTCAGAACCAGTCTTTAAGGTGCAGAACTTAATATCCAGCATAAACAGAACAGACAATTAGGAATACAAGCATCATAATGTCACCCTAAGACAACTGTAGATGCCATAGTAATGTAAGCTTACAAGAGAAAAGTAGTTCCAAAAGTCCTACTGGTCAAAAACTCAGCACCTTCTGGAAATCAGACCCCGTGGAAATAGAAAAAAAATCAATCCTGTGTGGCATCCCTTGTGAGGAAGGAAGTTGAATAGTCCAGCAGTGACTGTGGTGTCCAGAAGACTCAGCAAAGCATCAGCTTCAGAGCTGAGCGGGTGCTGCTTATTCTTTTCTGGTGGGGCTCTGTGAAAATGCTCCAATCAATGCTTCAGGGTGATTATGGCAGGCCAAACTCAATTTAATCCCAGTGTTCTTAGATTTAAAATCCCTATTAAAATAGAAGGCACAAGTTCTTTTTTTTTACTTATTTGTTGTTGGTTTTTTTTTTTTTTTTTTAAGATGTCCACACATAACAGGTTGGATTCACTTACCTTTTTTCTCCAAAGTGCCAATGCCTCTTTGGTGACCAGATTTATAGTACATGTCAAGTTTCCTGGCTCTAGGCAATGACTGATCTGTAATGTCAATGACTTGTGGGGTAGCCTCAAGTGTGTGCTTCCCATCTGTTCTCTTACCTGCAAAATGGGCACAAAAGCATCAGTTATAATAACTGCTCATTAAAAACATAAAGTTCTGTAAGTATAATCTTTAGTCCTCAAACTCCACACCTTAGAGTAGAAATGTATTAGAAATATTACAGTGAATAAAACTGTGATGAAAGTGAAGCTTGAAGCTTAGCTATGATAGGTTGAAAAAGGATGTGTTCTGTCCCGTGTCACACACGTGGTGTGCCAGCTGTGCCATGCAGGTGCCTGGACACACATCCCCAGGCTCTGCTCTGTTTGGCAGGATTACACAGCCACCATCTCCCTACGGCAGCGCTGGACAGACCCTCGGCTGGTCTTCCATGGCAACAAGAGCTTCACACTGGATGCTCGCCTGGTGGAGTTGCTCTGGGTGCCAGACACCTACATTGTGGAGTCAAAAAGGTCCTTCCTGCACGACGTCACCGTGGGCAACCGCCTCGTCAGGCTGTTCTCCAATGGCACTGTCCTGTACGCCTTAAGGTACGGACACCTCTGGCTTTGCTGCTGCTGGCTTAGAATCAATTTCCAGAATTACCCTGGACAGGAGCAGGTACCAGCTGTCACAGGTCATGAGTTTGGTGTCAGCAAACCAGCTGTGAGCATTCTCTGCTGATCCATTTCCCCCTGTTCTGGCTTCCAGAAATGCCAGTCAATGATCAGGATCTCCCATCACAGTACATGCTGTATCTTGAGGCCTGCTCAGAAAGCTCACAAGTTTAGGTGTCACTGAGGAAAAATCCAGTCAGATGGGGGCAGGGGAGGAATAGAAGGAAGACATCACAAAGTAAAAGTTCAACTGATAGTGGGAAACCATTTGTTTATCCAATGCCATGTAGTGATTACTTCTGTTTTTTACCAAGAAGTGTGTTTGTCCATGAACTGCAGGAAGGTGCACAGCACTTGAGTTAGCAATTCCTACAGTGCTCCCCTTAGCTTGCATTAACTGGGTCCCAGTTAGCTCAGCTGCAGAGTAAACTCACCTACCTCCATGTCAGAGAAGGCCAGAGTACAGTGCAGTTAGTCACTGCGCCTCATGTCGCAAGTGTGGACTCCTTAAGATAAGCAAATTGTAGCAATGGGAAAAAAATGTGAATTTGCACTCTATATTCCACCAGATCAAAGCAAAATTCCTCCTAGGGCTACATTTTCATTGGGGTGGCTGCAGAGAGTGCTTGTTCTTGAGGGCTCTCAGTTAATTCATATCATAGGTCCAAATAATCTAACTGACAGAGCAGAGCTTTGTGATCCAGTTTACTGTGTAAAATATGCTTTTATTTCAATTTTCAGAGCTCTTTCTCTTCCTACAGAATCACTACTACTGTTGCCTGTAACATGGACCTGTCAAAATACCCTATGGACACACAAACATGCCAACTGCAGCTAGAAAGTTGTAAGTATAATGTTCTAGAAAACTCTAAATTTGTTTATTCATAAGTAACTACACATATTGAATATTTAGATTAAGCACGGTGGCTTTCTGGAGTAGACTTTTATTCCTGCAAATTATAATGTCCAAAAGAAAACAACTTCTGTGTCATCATTCTTCAAATGTTTGTGCTGTATTCCACAGCCCAGAGAATTCCTGTCACTGTGCAGTTTATGCAAAAAAGTGGTAACGAATAATATTTATTGAAGTGTAGATAATTCAATCTTGCACAGAAAGGATCAAGTAATGTTGTTGGTTGGCTTTCAAAATTCAAGTTCTTTTGAGCACACAGCTTCTTCAAAACTAACTTGCGGGATAAGTGCCTGTGATAGAGTACAAGAAGGAACAATTCTCACATTTTTAGGTAGCTAATACCTCTTGCACCCCCCAAATCCCCACTGTAAGAGGACATGGGGAAGGGTGATTCTCGTTAGAATTAGAGTTGAACATGACTCTCAAACTCATGAGCTGAAATTAGGGCCAAACCCAGGTTTGTGATACCTGCCCCCCCACTAGGGAGGGTGTCATTACCTTATTGTAAAACCTTCATACCTTCTCTGTGAGTTCTCATGGGCAGCTCCTCACAATGCTGACTCCTTTCTGTCCCTCACAGTACATACTCACCCTTTCTGCCCCTCTCACAACTACCTAACCCTTCCTCCTCACAGCACAGCATCCAACTCTCCTCTCAACTCCCTAACCCACTCTTTTATAGTGCCCATCCTTACTGGACATAGCTGTGACCTGTTAAGGGCAGGCCCATTCCTGCTCCTTGGTAATTAGTATAGCTGCAGCTCCTCGGGGTGAGATTGCCCTCAGCACTATCTCTATTCTCCTACATTCCATCCTCCCACAGGAGAGGATACAGAGGATGGGACCTTTGTCAACAGAAGAGTGTCAGACTGAGAAGTCTCAATAAGACTATAATAATAAGGAGAATTATCAGTGAGTTCTGCTCTCAGTTAGATTAAAAGCTCGCCTAAGGCAGTGCTGGCTGAGAAAGGGTCCAAGGACATGTGGGCCACTGCAGGGTTGTTGCCCCAAAGCTCAGCCAGCGCAGCACTGCTGCTGCAGACCTGTGATGAGCAGGCAGCCAGTTCCTGCTGCATGACACAAAACCAAACTTCCACCATCTCAGCATGGAAAAAACCAGATTTTTAACTTCTGGGGTTGCAGCATGAAGCACGTAGGGAAGCACATATTATTTTCACATTAAAATCATATTAGTTCACCATGGTTAACTTTATTACAAAGACTAGCTCCTGAAATAATAATGATTGGCCTCTTCTGCTAAAGTGGAGCGTGTTTAGGCCTGGTTTAAAACTGATTGGGTCCTACATCATGCTCAGTTGCTGTATAATTCCAATGAAATTACATACATATTGCCCACTGGAGATTTCATTAGGATAAGTGCCCAGAAATAATGCTATTTAAATATACGCCAGATGAATTAACAACAATCTATCACTTATAAGATTTTCCTGATTAACCACAATTTATAAAACCACTTAGGAACTTTGAAAAGTCACATGCTTAAGATTCTACTCAGGGATTCATGCTCCGGACACCTAATTTAGGAGTTCATCACACCCAAGCTCTGGTAATTTGTGTCTAATAAGAAAACACAATTAGATGTAAATAGAGCTGCAACTTCATCTGATTCCTTCTACCAGGACAAATGGGTTATTATCAGAATCACAGCATCTCTACTCATGGTCTTAAAGAAGGGCTCTTAATAAAAGAATTAAATCAGTGAAACTGATGGACTTGTTTACTAAATTAAGTCAAATTTTTGAAGGGAATGGCAGGCTGGCAACTCAGTACAAGATTTACCCCTCAGACTGAGGTCTCCCTCAGTCTAACCTGAGGTTATGTCATCCCTGGAGGCACACACTCACATGGCATATATGGAGTCCCACTGCTTTGAGGCAGGAATTTGGTGTTAATGTAAATGTTGTGTGCATTTATTTGTCCTCAGTAACTTAATGTCTTTAAGGATAGGAGGAATGATGTGTGGAAAAAGTTGTTTTTATGAGCAGGTTTTCTGGACAATATGTACCCAGTCAGAGGAGCCTGGTTCATAACCACATAGCAATCTCAGCTGTAAGCTCCTGACTAACTGAAAATGCATTTTCTGGTTTTGAAACACTTAAATAGATGACTCAGTGAAATGTGCTTCTGCTCCGTGGTAAGGGGCTCAGTGGGATCTGAATTCTCTTTCTTAGCCACTGTGTTTTTCCTTCTCTCCTCTCAGCCTGAAGAGAGAGACTGTGTTTGAGGGTTAACCACGGCAGTACTAATATCCCATTGTATGTAATCAAGCTGTGTGTGACAGCAGTGGGTTATCTTTGGAAACATGATTACCCCATGTAAACAACTGCAGTAGGCTCTCAGCAGCCTTGCACTTCGTGTGTCATTCCCAGAGGTGTGTGTTCCTGTCCACATCTGGAGCAGCAGACCAAGGGCAGTGAAGGAAGCACAGCCCACGTGGTCAGACACAGCTCAGGGGCCTCTGTCCGGTCTGCCGTGCTGGGGTCAGGGTTCTGCTCCCCGCAGGAGGCAGAGCAGGGCACAGCTGGGCCCTCCCTGGCCACAGCAGCCACACAGTGTCTGTGTTCTCCTCAGGGGGCTATGATGAGAACGATGTCACCTTCACCTGGCTGAAGGGAAACAACTCTGTGCACGGCATCGAGAAGCTGCGGCTCTCCCAGTACACGGTGGAGCGCTACCACACCCTGGTCTCCAAGTCACAGCAGGAGACAGGTAAATCTGGGAGAGAAAAAAGCAGGGAAAGCTCTTGGTATTCCCCATCCCGTCTCCTCTCCTTCTGTGGGCCAGGATCAGTCCTGAACCATAAAGCCTTTAGCAGATCTTAATCTCACAAAAAGAGATGAACAGAAAGGTGGTGACATCCTATTAGTTGCAGTCAGGGTATTCTGTAAGATGGAAATCCATAGAAAGATGGAAGTTTAAAATATGCTGTATTCATTTGATGGATTTAATTTTTTTTCCTTCTTCCTATTTTCCTCTACACACACCTGAAGAAACTCTATCCCTTCTATCCAGTGAAGAAACTCTATCCCTTCTATCCAGGTGTGCAGTCTATAGATACTGCACAGAGCAATGTTTACATTAACTAGGAGTAAAATTAATTTTTTAAATATACATTTGTTTGTAAATTACAATTCTATCATGATGGAATAACATATTTTTGTAGATCAGAATTCAATGTCTTTTTCATTATCAGTGTAAAATACTCTTTTCTCCAATTACAGATAGTATGAAAGGGAGCGAAACTTCCTTAGAATTACAAGGTTTTTAAAATAACAGCATTTTGTTGTTTTGTTGCATACACAGTCCATGAACAACATGGACTTTGTTTCTACACATCAAAGGGAATTATTGTTTATAGAGCAGAAATACATCCTGAAAACACTACTGATCCAGCCTCAGAACCCTTATGTCAGTATTTACAACAAATTGTTTTGTAAAAGATAGAGAACTCAAAAATATACCATTATCAAACATCACAAATCACTAATGAAAATGGAAGTCTGATTTTCTGTGATGATAAGGCACAGGGGTGCTTTGGGATGTGAGCCAGACCCTGCTGAGATCGAGAGACAAATGTTTTGTCTGTTTTTCAGCCATCAGGTAAGGCTGAACCTGGCAGTGCCCTTCAGAGCAGGTGTTGGGAAAGGTGCTGTGCTGAGTGTGAAAGAGCAGGTGAGCTCTCTCAGCCCTGCTCTACTCAGAACTGAGGCCCTGCTGTAACATTCCTGCTATGCTCAGGGGCAGGAGCCCCTTTGCAAGGCATCTGCTGTGCAGATGGGGTTGTTCAGACGCCTCTTTGCCTGTCAGTGCTGTGTGTGTCCTCCTGTGTCAGGTGTGTTACCTGCATAAGCTCTGCTGAGCTCCATCAGCTGGTGCTGGTGCTGGGCTGTCCCAGTTTTACTTCGGGGGTCCTTGGGAACCTCACATTCACCAAGACTCTTGCTTTCATATACAGGCAGTTACCCACGATTGATATTACAGTTTGAGCTGAAAAGAAACATCCTTTACTTCATTTTGGAGACCTATGTGCCTTCCACTCTGCTTGTCATGTTGTCCTGGGTTTCTTTTTGGATCACACTGGACTCAGTGCCTGCAAGAACCTGCATTGGTGAGTTCTTGCCTGAGGAATGGAGAAGATTTAAGCAGACAGAGGAGCCTTTGAAGGCTGGGTAGATGGTACTTTTCTTGAGCTACCTGCTCAGGGATAAATGGTGTGCTCGCCTTCTGCTGTTTAGGGCAGAGCTGGGTTGGTGTGGAGGAGATGCTGTGGCAGGGACACATGCCCACCTGCAGGGCTGTGTGTGGCTAAAGCTCTCAGGAGATGCATTGCAGAGAGCAGAGGACAGGGCACAGGATCTTTCTGGTGTGCTTTGGAGAAAGCGGGATGGAGGGATTTTTTTACTGAAAGTATGAAAAAGAAGAGAGCCAACTGCCTGTTGGAGCTAAGCTGCCAAAGGCAGGGAGAGCCTGTGTGAAGCTAGCGAGTGCTACAAAAGTATTTCAGTAGCTGTGATGGATGATTTGGATTTGGTAAGAAGTGATGTGCTTTAACTGGCCAGCAATAGAGAGCAATGACATGAACAGAAGCGTAGGCCAAGACTTCTCCAAAGTGTACACAAGAAAACTCTCTGTAACTCTCTGTTTCCAAGGAGTTACAACAGTGCTTTCCATGACAACTCTGATGATCGGCTCACGAAGTTCACTTTCAAAAATCAACTGTTTCATTAAGGCCATTGATGTTTATCTTGGCATCTGCTTCAGCTTCATCTTTGGCGCCCTTGTGGAATATGCAGTGGCTCACTACAGCTCCTCACAGAAGTGTGCAGCTAAAGTACCAGAAGAGGTAAGGTCCAATGCTCCTTAATAAGGCCAGTGGTCTTGGACTGGTAGCAATTAGTTCTCCATTAACTGAACAAGACAAATTGTCTTCTTGCTATGGATACATCAACAATGCTCCTCCTAACTGGCGCTAAATCTAAACTTTTGTGTGTAACAAACACATGAATAGCACAGGAATACTGTGTCTCTGGCAGACTTCTGTTGGGTTCACAGGACCACATCCAAAAAGGCACTTGGGCCTGGCAGTGGATTGGGTCCATAGCCCTGAGTTGAGCTCATGTGAGCAGGAAGCACCACTGCTCCTTTCAAATGCACTCAGAGAAGAGCCAGGATAACACAACTCTTCATTCTTCTATCAAACAACTCCAATAAGGGGGGTACTTCCCTCTACCAGAGGAAAGCTGAAGCCTTCTTCCTCCCTTCCCAGAAGATGCTTCCAAACATCTGTCCCACAGTGTTATGTGGGGATTGTGAGAGTGAGTTGTTCAAGAGCTCTGCTTTAGTGTGAGAAATAATAAATAATCATGTATGACTGTAGTCCAGTTTCATGAAGGGCCCAAATCCTGTCAGGGGAAAAGGAGGTTTCCCACCCCAATACTGAGTTCCCAGCCATTAAGCTACTGTGTAGACAGGAAGAGATGGATATCCTGTAGGAGATGGATATTGGATTACCCAGAGTAAAACTTGCTCAAGGATCTAAAAATATCTCTAGAAATACAGTGGTGGAAACAGGCATCTCTTGGACCTCAGGCCCTGCTAGGAGTAGGCAGCAGTGAAAGGTGTGTTTGAGTATTGGGATGACCACATGTGAAGCTGTACTCTTATGTCTTTATCCTTATGGTCTTCTTCCTCTGCAGCAGAAGACAGACCTTAAAACTGTGCACTCTTGTTTCCTAGGGGCCTGCAAATGAACTGACTGAAGAAATAGAAGAAGTTAACATCACCAACATCCTCAAAAATTCCATCACCAGCTATGAACAGAAAATCAGCTTCACAAGCATTGAGATTTCCAGCGATAATGTTAACTGCAGTGACTTGACCATGAAAAGTCATGAGAAAATCAAATGTGTCTTAAGGAACAAAATGCACAGGATCATTGGTTATTTCACAATTCAGAACCCTGGCAATGTGGACCACTACTCCAAATTGCTTTTCCCTTTGTTTTTCATGGTGGTCAATGTGTTTTATTGGGCTTATTATCTATATTTTTAGTAGAAATTAGTTGCTTCATTCTCCTACTTCAGCAGGAGAGGAATTGTGATACATAACCTCAGTGAATTCAATGTTGACAAAAAGCTTCCTTGTGTTTCCTGAGGTACCCAGCAGAAGTGTGTGAGGTGTGCATACATCAGCAGCACTGACTCTGACAGCAGCTGTTCAACTGAGTGACTGTGCTGGGCTCTTCTGCTCATAGCTGCATTTCATTCCACACCTCACCTGGCTGGAGGTGGGTGTGCAGGACTGCACTGGCAGCTACAGAGCACTACAGGTGGCAGAATTATTTTGGTAGCTTGGAGCAAGTTGGAACCTTCAAGCTGAGATGTCCCAGAGGATGTATAAGATCATGACTGTTATTCTTTGTTTGCCAGAGAGAACAGAGGGACTGTGATTGCTGCTTCAATAGCTGCTCTGTTGCAGTGAGAGCCCTGAGGCAGCAGTAGGAGCTCAGTGCAGGGCAGTGGGATGCTCCTGTGCGTGATGCTGCTTTGTCCTGGATGGTGCAATGCCAGGATGGTGATTCAGTACTGCACAGTGGTGCCTCATTGATTTTAGTCTGTAACTCACTGAGATAACCCTCACTTGCTGAAGTCCTCCATCCCCAAGGCAGATGGAAGGTTGTTGTTTGTAGAGCTGCATTTTTTCAGAGATTTGGGAACACGAAATAGAGGCAGCAAAATAATTTTGTAACCCATCTCTTATACTCTTCCTGCTGTACTGCATGTGAACATATTCTACCGCTTTCCGTGTCTTCCTCACAAATTATTTTTTGTCCTGGAGAATGTTTCCTTCGGCCTTCACTGCTACAAGCAGCTCTCTCTCCTTGCCAGCCATAGGCACAAGTGGCCATTTGTCATCCCCTCCTTTAGTTGGCTGTGCAGCTGTGGCAAGTCAACAGTGCTGCTGGGTGAAAAACATGCATGGGTTGGGGTAGGCTAGTCTAAATCACCCTTTCACTCTCACACTTTCACTTTTAGGCTGAAACACTGTTACTTTTTTGAGAAAAATCATATTCTAAGTGGGCTCTGGAAATGCCCGAAGTTAGCTTTGTTTATCCTGCAATCAGCAAAAGCCAAAATTTTCTTTTAAAGATAAATGAAATGTGGCCACACAGTTACAATTAAGAACCAAATGCTATTTGGTACTGTGTAGCTTAAGAATACTGGAAGTCTTTATTTGCTGATTGTAAAATGAATGTTTTATGGGTGCCCCACCCGGCTCCCTTTTTGGTCTGTGCTGCTTTCATCACTGAGAGAGGGCAATCCTGCAGTTATGTGGGCAGAATCGGAATTGCCTGCAGTGGCTCCATCCAGCAGAGCTCTGGCTGGGTGAGGCCTCAGTTTGTAGCTTATGTTGCAATCTCAGCATGCAGTGTTTGCTTAGCTTAAGGATCTCTTCTTGGGGGTTCCTAGAGAAGGTGAACAGAGCACGTGAAACTATAGATTTTTTACTTTAATAACTTTTTATTGAACCACTTCACCACACTGTACTTTGAGGGATCTAACCCACATATTCATAAATCATCACTTTTACAAAGAGCAGCACAAGAAGACAGAGGGGAACAGGCTGACAATGGCAAGTGGATAAACACAAACTCCAATAATGAAGTGTTGGCTTGTATATACTGGCATTTGAAGTCCATTCCATAAAATGCAATAAAGTGAATGTTTGTGATATGAACACAAGCCCTCAGAGAGATTCTCTACTAAAAAAAAATCATTATCTCTTCTCTGTATTGGTTTCTTTCTTTAAAACCCAACTAAAATGCCCTTATATGTTTTACACTAGCCACCAAATATTAATGTTAACAAAAGGAATTTCTTTGTACAAAGTCCTCCAAGATGATCGAGTCCAGCTGTTCCCCCAGCCCTGCCAAGGCCATCACTAAACCCTGTTCCCATATGCCACATCCACATGGCCTTTAAATCCCTCCAGGGATGAGCACTCCACCACTGCCCTGGGCAGTCTGTTCCAATGCCACCACCTTTCCAGTGAAGAAATTTTCCAAAATATCCAACCAGAGCCTCCCCTGGCCCAGCCTGAGGCCGTTCCCTCTGCTCCTGTCCCTGTTCCCTGGAGCACAGCCCGACCCCCCCGGCTGTCCCCTCCTGTCAGGAGCTGTGCAGAGCCACAAGGTCCCCCTGAGCCTCCTTTTCTCCAGGCTGAGCCCCTTCCCAGCTCCCTCAGCTGCTCCTCATATGACTTATGTTACAGACCCTTTCCCAGAAAGGCCTTCTCCAACCTGAACAATTCCCAGATTTCAGCAGGTGGCTGCCCTCAGGGCTTGCTTTCATTAGCCACAGTTTTTTTTTTATGACTTTGCTGCTTTGATGTGGCTCAGTTCTGGCACCAGGGGTGAATCCTATTTCCCTCAAGAGACAGGTGTAGTTTATGCAAGATCCATGTGCAGCAGAGACAAGGTGAGAGAATGTTGGTTATATCACAGCTTGGTTTCTGGTTGCTTTCCCAGAGGAAGAGCAAGATAGAATATCTCTGCATTCACTGTCATGGAGAAGACTCAGTATTGCTGTGAGAGAAAGCAGGAGCATCTGAAGGAGCATGCCCCAAATTTTCTCTCTGTGCCTGATTTCCTGGCAGTTTTAGGGACAGGGAGTTTTTGTTAATGTGACTTTCCATTATAAAGTTTCCATTGCTTTGGAAAATATTAACTTTGTTCTGTAGACAGACAGGCCCTACAGTTATAGCTGGAATATCCTAAAGATTTAGTTCCCAGTAATAATAGGGCTAAACCACAGCACCACCAGAGGCAAAAACTACATTATTTGAAATGAAACTTCTCATAAATATCCAGCTATGAAGTAATTTTATATCAGCTGCTCTTATATAAACTGGACAAGGCAAACTGTCCTATCCATCAACATTAAGGTTGGCAAGAAAAATTACTCTATATTCATTGTCTGCAAGTTCTGGAGATCTCCCTTTCCATTAGACTTTCCCAGGAAACACTGTGCTTGCCACTCTGAAGAACTTTGCTGGTAGCAGCACTAGCATCAACTTTGAGCTTCACCCTCCTCATGTTATTCCTATCTCTGGCTCTGCAGGGGAGGGAGGGATGGGCACCCACAGCAGCCAGGGATGACACTGCTGCTCAGACTGTCTTCTAAAAGCACCCTGAAACATTGCTGAAGTCAGAACCGTGTGGCTTCAGGGTTTTCTATTTTGTTTTCTTCCAGCTCCTCTCCAAATGCTTAGAGCATATTTGTTGCAGGTCTGCAGCAGGAGCCAGGCCAGTTTTCCAACATCCTGCTGCATGTTGAACCCAGAAGGGGCTGAGAATAGCAAGGAGCACACATGGATGTTGCTTGACACTTTCATGTCAGCCACACCCTGGTGGCAGAGGTAAGTGGGTGCCACCCAGAGCCCTACCTGTATTTGCCACCCTTTGCTGCCCACTGCCTGCAGGCCCCCCAGCCCACTGCCCATTTCTGTCCTGCTGCTTGTAGCTGGCAGCATGTGCAAGACTCTTTCTTGTGTTGCTCTTTTATTCTCCGGGTTTGTGGGCCAAGGTCTGATGTTTTCCCCAAGCCCTGGTGTCTTTGGAGCCCTGCTGTATCTGGTAGCACTTCCATGTCACTAGTGATGTACACAGCAACTACCTTTGACACAAAAATTGCTTCACTCTGTGTGAAACTGCAGTAAAACATGACACCTGAAAGTACTGTGGTCTGTGCAAAATAGAGGGCTAATGGAAAAATGTTGCAGTACAGCTAGTCTGTAACTGAACAAGATAAATCTGGCCATAACAAATCCAATTCAGCTGACCAAGCTCATTCTAGAAAAGAGGTAACAGAGACCTCAGCCAACCCTGTTCAAACTTAAACGCAGATACTCCACTGGCCAGAGAGCTGGGCAGAGAGAGGTCTCATCCAGTCAGCTATCTGGGTCTGGAAGATTCAAAGCCTGATTAAAAAGGGCAGCCATAATAAACTCGTTGCTGTTTGCTGACGATGGATCAGTGTGTGTCATGTGTCTGTCTCCAACCCATAACCCCACATAACAGAAAGGCATTGCCAAAACAAAGACAGAAGGTGGACAAAAGTTCGTGGCTTCCTCTCAACGGGAAGAGGAGCGATGATGGCTTTTGCTCTATACAGCAATACATGATGGAAGTGTACAGAAAAAGGCTTAAGAGGAGCAGGCTGGCTTTGCCAGACTGTAAATGTGGGCAGGGCATATGGGTGAAATGTCTTTCTGGCATTTTCTGTGAAAGTCTCCTGCTGCAACTCTCACCTCTCAAGAGAATGACTTCAGGGAAATGCACGATTAACAGCTGGTGATGTTTGCGCGCCACCTTTTTGTTCTGGGATGGGAGGCTCGGGTGTTTCTGGATAAGACTGCAGAGCTTTCAGAAATTTAGTCTACTTAAAGGACAAGAGACACTGAACAGGCTTGAAAAGAACCTTGATATATCTGGCCCCTTGGAAAGAAATAACTTGTAGGAAGGTGAGTCAGTAAGCCTGTATTGAAACAAACCCAGCATTTGGTACCAGCACAGTGCTATCAGCCACTTTCGTCTTTTCAAGTTAAAATTTGTCTGCAGTGACCAACAATAAATATGCTGAAATACATAACAGGAGACATCTACAGTGAGCCACTGTTGGAGACACGTGCAAGGTGAGTCACCAAAAGTCTGTTCAAAGACTTTCATGGAAACATCAGCTTACAGGTAGGGGACAGACTTTTTTTTTTTTTTTTTTTTTTTTTATTTTGAAAAACTCAAAACTGGGCTTGTAAGGAGAATGAGTTACGTCCTTCTGTTAGCCATTGCTGGTGCTTTCATGGAAAAATCAACTTTAAGGTGGGGGACAGATTTTTTTTTTTTTTTTTTTTTTTTAATGATATGTGAAACCTTAAAAAATAAACCTACATTTTAACCTACAAAAAAATAATTAAAATCTTCTTGAAATATGCAAAATTTATTTTAAAAATTATAATTTAATTATACAATTATAGTCTAATAGCTCCACTGCATATTAGGGAACAATTGCTTTCTTAAAGCTCATAGCAGAATCATTTACTTGATGCTGGAGAATAAGTTAATTATGGATCTCCTGCCTTTGATTAATGGATTTAATAATCATGTTACAGTAGGATTAACTTATAGTTAATGTGCTTACAGCACTAATGATGAGATGAAAGCAGTGTCAGCACATTGGACTGGCCCCAGAAAAGGCCCCGTCTGGAGATCCCAGGACTGCACCAGTCAGCACTTCTGGGAGGATCCAGCACATGGCATCAGTCATCCCCATTTGCCACTTACTTCAACAAAATTAAATACTGCTCTCAGGTGAGCTAAGCACCTTGACTTAAGCTCAGTTCTGGATACTGTGGGGGGAGAAGTTTTCCTAGGAGATGGATACAATAGCAGGTAATACACATACCCACTGGGCACGGCCACCTGTAGCCTGCTGTGAGCCAGTATAACAGGCTGAACATTCTTTAATGCTTCTTTTGGGCACATCATACAAGTATAAAATACCTTGGATAGAAACATACTGAGTCAGCCGAGATTTCTTAAGGAACCTCAAGTACAGGTAATTAGTACAGCCGAAGAGACAGAGTACTCTAGTTTCTAAACTCGACTCCAGATATTTAAGGAAAGGAACCACTGCAGGACAGAGAAGGTAGAAGGACCACGTGGAAGATTTTTGTATTTTGCTGTTATTCCTTACAGGACTCCTGTGCCTATGCAGGAACCAGGTCTGCAAGTCTGGCTGGAGTTGAATTGATAAACCTTCACTTACTTAAAACTCATGTTGACACAAATAAAAACAGAACAAAGAGCCAAACCATATTTTGTCTGAAGGAGCAGTACCTCAAAAGTCACCAACAACAGAATTTCAAGCTGCATCAGCCACATACCTTACCTATTATGATACAAAGCAGAACAACGTGATACAAATCAGAAGCTGAGTGTAATACAGCCCTGGGCCGCTTTGCTGGGTCCCCTCCCTGCCCATCATCCAGCCTGTGTTTCCACAGGAAAGCAGCAGAACTCCTTGCACTGATCATGCCATATGGAAATACTGGGGGAAAGCTGGGGAAATTGCTGCACAGCCCACACAGCCCTTCCTGCTGTGAGACCAGGGCATGTGAATGCTGCTCCACCTCCCTGTTCAGGACATGATTCTCCAAGGTGTCATTTCCCAGCTGATGGCAGCCAGCTCGCCATCACTGCAGCCTCCTGCCCTCTCTGGGGCTGTGAGCTCCCGTGCCCGTGCCCTGCAGGCAGCACCTGGGGGCTGCTGGCTGAAAGCACAGGGCACGGTGCTGGTTGTCCTGCAGCTCCGGTGGTGACATGCATCCACTGCTGCTTGTGTTTCCTTCTGGGATATACTTAGGGTTTATTCAAGGTTTGTCCTGAAAATCAACACTTTTTTCCCTACCAAAGCAAGCTTCAAGGATTAGAGACATCCTGAAATAATGCATCTTTTATTCCAGAAGCAGATGAGCAGATGGGACTATGCCTTTAATGTGCCTCTTCAAACCCAGCTGTGCATCCTGCTCTCTCTCCCTCCCCCTGCTCTGCTCTGACTGCCACACATCCATCCAGTGTGGGGAGTTCTCTTCAGCTTGTCACAGCTGGCTTGATAATGAAAGACATTCAGAGATTTACCAGGCCATTTCTCCATGTCATACCACAGTGATTTAACCTCAATTTGTTCCAGGTGATCTCAGGAGTCTGTGACCAAGTAACCCTCAGCTGCAGATCATCTGCCAGGTGGCAGTTCTTTAAACGAGACTGCAGGCACTTCCAGTTCTTAATTTAGAGGCTGAACCCACCAAGAATTCAGATTACATGAGTCAGGTAAATGCCAAAAATGCTTTCTAGGGTATCTATGATGGGTTTCCTCTGTCCCAGCTCACAGAAGGTACTTCCTTATGATACACTCACTGTTTTTCAGCACTAAGATCCCAAGTTTCCTGAGAGATGCCAGACAAACCTCACCCTTACCAGGGGTGTTGCTGGCCTGCAGCTCCTTCCTGCTCTGGCTCCACTTTGCTCACATGGCTTCACCCCTATAAATATTCCTTTCCTTCATATGAGCCTTAGCAAATCCTTGTCCTATAGGTTCTCATCCCCTAAGCTGTACAGACAGATAATAAAATAGACTGTGGTGACTAGACCCTATAATGCAAAACTAAATGTCCAATTAGGACTTGATAAAGAAATGTGAAATAAAACGCATCAAACAGGACAAAATAATGAATTTCCTATTAAATTGAGGTTACTTTTTTTTTTCTGACTCTCAATGTTAAAAGCATCAATTACACACATAATTTACTTGCTTACAGTCTGATTCAGAGTTCAAAGCAACAACTTGCACATATAGAATATTATTTATCCCAGTGATCAGAGGAAAAAACTCAGTGCCCTGCAGGTGTCTCTAGGGTGGCTTTGAGAAGTGTTATCAGTGTAGGCTGGGGGAAATTGCATTTTGTGCTTTTTAGGAAAAGGAAGTGATTTTGAAGCAGCCTGCTACTTAACTCAAATGAAGAGGTAATCTCAAATAGTGCAGATGGTACGGGAGCTGAATTTAGGAAAAACCATGGAAATGTTTGGGATGAAAAGTAGATATATGACCTCAAAACATTTGGCTTTGTGAATGCAGCCAGAGGATGCAAGGCTGGTACAACAAAATGCATCCTTCACTGAGCTCATGCAAGGAGTTACACACTATGAACAAAAAAAAGAGGAGGAAATGCTGCTTGTGGAAGATTTTAAGAAAAGTAGGCCAGAAGCATGACTTCTCTTTTATTGCAGCTTCTTAACATTGTCCTAGTTTTATGTGTTTGTCTTCAAACTGTGATGCTCGTAGGGTTGTTTTAAGCTAGCACCCAGAGACATTTCCTTTGTAGGTAGTGGTGATCTTTGACCCATGGCATTGGGCTGCAGGTCCATGATGCTTCACTTCCACCCCCACAGCCAGGAGGATGAATTGCTGGTGAGCTGCATGTAGTCTGAACAATGGTAACAGCAGCCTGTGGGCTACAAAATCTCAGCAGCAGGGTAAAGGAAGGGAGATTTCTGCCAGGAGACAGGGAGCATGTCTAAATCCTGAGACGGAGAAAGAACTCCATCTTTGGAGTGCAACATCTGGTGAGAAATGACCCTGCAAAGCCATCTCCCTGAACTGGCAGCCATATACACACAGAAAAGCACAGAAGGAAATCCAAGCTACCTCTTTCATTTTCCTTCATAACCTGCAGTGTAAGCACATCTTAAGAAACTAAGGCAAAGAAGTGCTTTGAAAAGATGAGCACAGCATCTGACACTTAGCAGAATCTCCTTCTGAAGCTATAGCAATTTGCTCACGTTTGCCTGTGCTCTAAACCTTTGCACATTGTTCTCAGAACCAAACATGGACTACATTATTTTGTGTTGCAAAGCACAGACACCCATAAACACTGAACAGAAAATATATGGAGAGACAAACAATGGGTCCTTTAATGATTACAGGCATCTTTGATCTTAAACCTGAGAGTTTAAAGTCAATGCCGGCTGACTTGGATTGCCTCTTGCTTGTACAGAGCCTGTAAATAAAGTGTTAATTCAGAGCCCCTAGCTGTGATCAGGAATGGATCACATTTGGTATTGCACCAAGCTCTAGTCTCTAGAGTACTGGCTAAGCCCCAGGGCACTGGGGTTTTGGGTGCTACTTTGTACATATATTCATCTTTTTGTGGACATCTATTTTGCCTGATGTAGGGGAGGGCCACTCATAGCAGTGACTTTTTTCATTTTACACTCCTTTTCCCTGTTCCCCTTTCCACAATAGCTGCAATGTAATGTTCCAGTAGAGCAAGGCTTTGCAAATTTGGCTCAATGAGACATGGAGCAAACAGCTTTTCAGAGAGCTTCAACTCAGCTGTCAGAAGGGGCAGTTTGGTCTCTGTGCAAGCAGTACTCACATTCCAAACTGCATTAGGGAAAAGCTGCTGGGTCTTGATGCATTTTTATTATCAGTTCCAGATTAGGAATCTGATACTAATTTTTCCTTAAAGCCTGTGTTTGGAGTACAGCTTATATTCTAAAACAAAATCAGGATTGTGATGTTTTTCTCTCACTAGCTTGCTCTTTTTTTGGTTTGCTTTTTTTTTCCTCTCCCTGGCTTTACTCCAAGGACCTTTTCTTCTTTTTGTTACACTCTCGAGATGAAGCACCGTATGGTTACAGCAGTGCTGGTAGCACTGGTACAGGTTTCACAGAGTTTCCCTGCCTTGTACCACCGAGGCTGGTGGAGGCTGCTAAGGGAAGGAGATAGTTGTGGAAAATGTGATTTGGCACTCTGCTCTGAGCCCAAGGACTGTCCAGCTGGGGCTGTGCTGGATCGCTGTGGCTGCTGTCCGGAATGTGGGAATGTGGAAGGTCAGATCTGCGACTTGGACCAGGGCAATCATTTTTATGGGCAGTGCGGGGATCACCTCGAGTGCAGGTTGGATGCTGATGAAGCAAGGTTTGGGGAAGTCCCTGAACCCCAGTGTGTGTGCAAATCTCAAGAAAGCATCTGTGGACCTGATGGGAAAACCTACGAAAACATCTGTCAGTTCAACAAGGCTTATGCTGCGAAAAGAAACATCAGCATGAAACATAAAGGGCCATGTGAATCAGGTAATGTGTACATAGGCACTTCCAAACTGAAAAAAGAGCTGATTCTTATCTTCAGATGTGCTACTAGTTACTCTAGCCTAATGTCATTAAACTAATACTGTGTTTCTGTTACAATTATCATTATTCTGTTTTAATGCTACTTTGTGTTAAACATGTGTTTCAGCATCTGGTACTTAATCTTTGTTATAAACCTTTGTATTAGACTAGTGGATTAAATCTCATGGTAGCTAAAAAGGCATCAATCTACAGCCTGGGTCTGTTCTGAATAATCAGAGTATGATTATTTTTTTAATTTTAAAGTGGTGATAGTAAAGCAGATCTCATTATATATATATATATATATATATATATCCTTTTTGGTAAAAAGAACAGAGCTGTTAATTAAACCCTGTCTTCTTCTATTGCCCCTGCTTCACTGCTTACCATGTATCCTCACAGGTAGATACACACATGCACACATGTACCTGTGTGTTCTCTTTATATATATATATATATATATATATATATATATATATATATATATATATATCCTGTGTCTACATGTATACATATACACACACAGGTACATGTGTGCATGTGTGTATCTACCTGTGAGGATACATGGTAAGCAGTGAAGCAGGGGCAATAGAAGAAGACAGGGTTTAATTAACAGCTCTGTTCTTTTTACCAAAAAGGTCCAAACTAATCCAATTCAGAATCATCATAAAATCTAGCTAATCCATGAAAGAGAAATCAAAATAGTAAAACAAAATCAAGCTGAAACAATTTCCTTAAAGGACTCTTAAAGTGCACAGTTGTCTCTGGTCATTGTTAGTGGAAGGATTCTTAGGTGGGTGTACAGGGGACTCTGCTCCCTGCTCATATGCTGTTCTCTTTCTTTGCATTACTACAAGTCATTACTACTGGGCATCTATCACTTAAGACATGACTATAAAATGAAAATGTGAAGAGGCTTTTGTTTGTTTCTAAATGAGAAACTACTGTGGGTTTTTAAGTTAATCAAATATTTTCTCAAACGAAGTAGAAGAGGTCTGTGGGTCACAAATGGGTCACAGCTCAAGGAATCTGAAATTGCAGCTCTGGCAAAAGACTGGGAGTAACTCAGGTATATTTCACCTGCTCTTCTCTAGTAGTCTTAGACTGTATGCTGTGGTTTTGTATTTAATGAACAAGGGATATTGACCACTTAGAAAAAGTGATGAACAGTTAATATCAGGCTTCTTTTCTCTTTCTCTACCTGCAAGAGAAGGATCCATTAGAGAACCCTTTATTTGCTATCAGGGTATTAAGCTGGGAAACGAGGCTTGTCAGGAAAGGGACATGCACGCCAGCCTGCAGTACAGCTGAAGTCTGTTAGCTTGGGAAGGAGTCTTTCTTTGGGACTCGGTAGCAGTAGTTCTTGTGGCATGACCCCTCCAGCAAGATTTCGGCCAGAAGTGCCCCTCCCTTAGCGAGTGTCGGTAAGTCTGCACCAGCGGCATCTGCTCAGGCGCACAGGCTTAAAGCAGTGGTCCCTCTAATTAATTTAACAGAACTGTCCGCGTACAAGAGACTTTTCAATTTGGAAGTACTACCACTTTTAATTGCTGCTGTCATCCAGCAGCCCCCAGTCACCCCCGAGGCGCCTCGCACTGCTGCTCCTCCAGCAGAAGGATCTTGGCTGCTCTGCTCCGTACGCAGGCATCACCCCCAGCGCTTTCCCACTGCTTCCCTGGCTCCCCGGAAAAGCCGGAGCCTCCCTCCAGGAATGCAGAGAATTATCCTCGCCGCTCGGCTTACTGAATTGTACAGAAGCCTGCGGAAAGTTCACAGCCGTGTCACTGCTGCGCAGTTCAGTTAAGAAAGACGCTGTGGCGGAGGAAAGCCCCCAGCTGGAGCACGCCCGCGCTGGGCAGGGCGCTGGGCTGGCAGCGACCGGGGTCACAAATGCCCTTCTCCTGGCCTCGAGCTGCCGCTCTCCGCGCTGGCTCGGAATCCCTAGAGCCCGGACGGAGCCCGGGGCGCGGAGGGGCTGCAGCGGGCTCGGAGGGGCTACAGCGGGCTCGGGGGGGCTCGGAGGGGCTCGGAGGGGCTGCAGCGGGCTCGGAGGGGCTGCAGCGGGATCGGAGGGGCTCAGAGGGGCTGCAGCGGGCTCGGAGGGGCGCGGAGGGGCTGCAGCGGGCTCGGGGGTCTCGGAGGGGCCGCCACGGGCGCGGCTGTCCCGGGAGCCCGCAGCCCAGCCCGGGCCGGCAGGGCACCGCGCTCCGCCCCGCCCCGCGGGCAGCTGGTGACAAAAGGCAGCAGGATCCTGGCTCTGAGAGCAGCGAACGCTGCAGCACGGGCTGTCCTCACGGCAATTTGCATGCGAAACAAACACTGAGCACTGTGGGGTTTTGGTACCAAGCTATAAATATAACCTTCACTCAGCTCAAAGTACTTTGTTTTGTTTTTCTCTCCTTCAAAGCATCTGCTGTTTCCTCTTGATGCCAAACGGACTAATTGTATACAGCAACCAATGAATAAATAAATAACAATAAACTCCTTTCATCAGAGGAATACAGCCTTTCATCTTTCTTCTCTTGCCAGAAAAAGGAGAAGAAAAAGGCCTAGCTCGCTAAAAAATCATGGAAAAAAATATTTATTTTCCTGAAAACCAGTTTTGATCAGTTTATTTAATAATTCACCAAGGTTTCTAAGTACATTGATTATATACAGATTCTCCACACTTAAACCATCCCCATTCACATTCAAACATTTCTCATTGATAATTTAATGAACTAACAGAACAATATAGCAGTGATTCGCTTTATATTTAGCTGTGCCACGTGATTTATTTTAAATGTAAATTTTGGCGTAAAAACAAATAAGCCACAAAAATTTATGCCATTTCCATCTAATCAGACATATATTAGCAAAAATTAATCCTAAACAATATGAGAAAAATATCCTATTAATTAAGTAATTAATTGGTCTGGAGTGATGTCAGGTTTATTGTGAAAGGTAAAAGTATTTTGACTTTTCCTGGCTTCTGGTTTACATCTTCTATTATGCAGAGGGATAATTTGTGACTGAATGGGACCGTAAAAGGAAAGAAGCAGCTCCTGCCCATTCAGCTCTGGACGCCAGGACACAAGAACATTTTCCTTAGCTATCAACAAAAATTTATCTATTCCAGGAATCAAAATGACACAGTACAGCTCTGTTTCTAATCAGTTATGCAAACAAAATACACACAGATATCATGGGAGAATTTGTCTGAACACAAAACCTGAAACATTCAAAAATAAAGTTTATAAACTTCTGTTTAAATTGTAGAATGTTACTTTAATTTTCTTCCACAAAACACAGCAAAATGATATTGTGAGGTTGTAGTGTTTTATTTCTGAAGTTTGGGTGGACAGTGAAAGTACTGGCGGTGTGCTGACATTCAGAAAGGGCAGTTTGGTTAGATCAGAACTGCTGCTTGCTGTGGGTTTGGTCTCAGGTGAGGCCAGCCCTGGACTCAGCTGCAGGACTGGGATCAAGCCCAGACACTTCCCAGCTGTCTGCTGTATTCTCCTCACAGTTAATGGAAAGAAGGGCATTCCTGGTGTGGAATTATCCTAGTGCACGGCAGTGCTGGACAGCTGCAATGTGGATTTGTAATTCAGACCTTTGTGCACTCCAGACTCCAGGAGTGTTCTGTGGGTGGCTGAGCCATGGCTGGGACAGTGACACGGGCAGGACCCAGTCCTTGGCCACACATCAGCGTTGGCAGGGGATCCACAGGACACCTGAGTTAGCAGCACAACAAAAATACTCACCAGGCAATATCTGCCTATTTGAAAAGTTTTTTACACTGTCTCTGTGTGGGAACAATTTAAAAAACTCCTGTGAGTCAATGCAGACTTTTGGTTTCTTTTGTACATTTTAGGCTTAACTACAGTGGATTTATCATTAAAAGGAATGGGGTTTCAATTCATTTTAAGATTTAAAAGTATATTTTAATATCAAACCCTCTGTGATCAGTTCATAGGCAAAAAAAAAATAATGAAAATTCTCATCCAAGATATCCAGTTAATGCTGATTTGAATAAAGATTTTTGAAATAACAGATTCTGAATGTACAGTTCTCATGAAAGAGCAAGCATTTAAGGATTTAATTTCCTAGTTTGAAAAAAACTTACTTTTAAAGAGTAGCAAGATTTTTAATGAGTCATTTATAAATGGGAATATTGATAGTTTTCTGTATAATTTATTTGCAATTAATTTTAATCAGGATGCATTTAATATTTTCTGCGCACACACTCATCCTTAAAAACTGACAAACGTGTTATAAATTGTTGCTTGAAAACATGGAACAGGCTGTTACAGTTTCAAATGCCAAAGAATAAATGCTGCACCTATGTATTGATTCAAATATTGCAAGTAAAAATATATTATTTACTTGAAGTTTCTATTTCCAAGCATCTGGGATGCGTGGAAAAAAAATAATTCAATACAACTCAAGTCACCCAGAAAATGCATTCCTTTTTGAGCACTGGTCTGGAAATAGAAAACAGGTTTTAGAAGGAAAAACATTTCTTGTTGTCGACAAACAGATCAGGGGGAACAAAGCAGAGATCTCCAACACAGGAAATCTGTGCTAACAGCAAATCCAGTGTTTTGTCTCTGGCGCCGGACATGCTCATCCCGGGCCGAGCCGGAGATGGGCAGCGCTCGCACGCCCGGCGGGACGGACGCGCCCGCGGTGCGCTGCGGAAGCGCCGGGGATGGCTCCGCTGCCTCCAGCCCCGGCCTGGCTCCCTCTCGCGGCTGCCTACTGCTTTTGCTCCGGGAAAAGGGAAAAAGGAGAATTCCGAGGCAATCAATAAACGCTGGAGGGGGTGACAGTGCGAGAACAGGAGGAAACAAGTGGAAATGTAACAAGTATAATAAGCATAACATGAAACCTTATGGAAATAATTGAATTTCAATCCTTTTCATTCTTAACACCAATATTGGATGACATCAATAGCGATTGAGGATAAATGTAAAATTCATTAATGCTGTTGTAACTTGTGACTTTCATGGGTAACAGTGCTCGACAATGTTTAGCAGCTTTAAGGCAAAGATGTACTCAGAAAACGCCAGCAACAGCAGTGTTTTGGCTTTCGGCTAACCAAAATGTGACACATTCAGAGCTGTCACACAATCCAGTCACCCTGTGACTCATGTGCTGCCAGTTTCCTGTGGTTTCCTCTGGAGCCCAGGGCGGGCACTGGTGGCTCTGCTGGGGGAGCCCGAGCCTGCTCCACAATGACAGCTCAGGGGGCAAAATAAAGCCCTCGATTTCAGCTTGGATTCCACAATCATCTGCAAGGGGGAAAACAGACATGAATAAGCATTCTCAGAAAACACAGACACAAGGTTTTCTGAACTTTAAACGGTGCTTGGAACCATGTGGCTCTTCACAGTGTGTGAGATCCAAAAGGTAAACACAATCTGATGATATCCTGTGAAGCAGGGATTAATGTTAACAAACCTTTTGTTTGTGTTCTTTGTGTACTGCCTCCTAAAGCACCCTGTTGGTTCTTTGCAGCTCCTGTTATTTCTGTGCCACCTCAGGATATCCAGAATTACACTGGCAATGATGTCATTTTTGGCTGTGAGGTGTCAGCCTATCCTATGCCACAGCTTGAATGGAAAAAAAAGGGGAATAAAATGTTTCTGCCAGGAGATGACACCCACGTCTCCGTACAGGTAAAACTTGAATTTACCTTTCCATCCAGTTTGGGAACAGGAGCAGGGTGGTTAATCTGTGAGTTCCTCCTACAGAACACAACACTGTTGCAATAAATAGATTCCCAGTAGGGGCCCTGTGACTGTGCAAAGAATGATGATTTCTGTCAGTGCTTCGGCAGTCCCAGCACAAGGAACAACAGCCAGGGTACCACTTATGCTTCTTTAGGAGACTTTACTCCAAGCCAGCTGAAACTGTCATGAAGTGTGAAAGTGCCCATGGAATGTCGTACCAACCCATGAAACCTGGCTGCTGAGTGTCAGCTTGGTCAGGCCCCCTTAGCCCTAACAACTCCCCCAGAGTCACTCCCTGTCTCAGCCTGAGTTTGAGCTGCTTTGAAGAATCAGCAAGTGCTGCTGGGACAAGGGACAGGAGGAGCAGAGTGGTGTGAAGGAGAGCAGGAATGTGAGCACCGTGCAAGGTAGTGAAGGTGAAAGAGCAGAGATGGGAAAGCGTGAACAGAGGTGCAGAGCAACAAGAAGGTAAAGCACAATGCAGCAAGAATAAGCAGAATCAAAGCATGATGGCATCAAAAAGAAGCAAAAGTTGTAATGATATTTAGTCCATCCACAATCATTTTCAGAAATATCATGGTGTCTCCTAGCTACTTAATTTCAACCATTTCTTTTCTCCTCAAAGGCAAGAGGTGGGCCTCAGAAGTATGGTGTGACAGGCTGGCTGCAGATTCAAGGCCTCAAAAAATCAGATGAAGGCATTTATATCTGCCACACCAAGAATAAGCATGGTGCAACATATGCCTCTGCAAGATTGAAAGTCATTGATGGTAATTTTTTTTTTTTTTTGGATGTAAAAAATATAAAAATGCATACAAGCAGGATGCAAAGGATGGGGTTGTTGGAATGAAAATGAAGCATAGGAGAAATTACCCAAAAGTGACCATATTTTCACTCTTCTGTGTGCTTTTATTTTACTTTATCCCATAACAGTTTATATAGTAATATTTTGCTGCAAATTATACCAGCTTCCAAAAAACAGAAAGCTGTGGATTGGAGCCATACAGCTGAGACACATTATTCCACCGTCCTTATCCCAGAGAAGTCCTTTGATGTTAGCAGGACCCAGAACAACAGCTGGGGTAACTGTTTGAATCTTTGAATCATGGCAGGTTTGCTTAGCTGTTTATTTTTCATAAAATTAGGAAGGAAACAGTTGTTGTTCCTCAATGAGAGTGGTTCGAAAGATGTAAGAAATAACTTTTCTATTGATTTGCTTTGGGCCCAGCCCTGAAGAACAATAACTTTCTTCCTCCATGGAGAACTGTTTTTCCTGGCAAATTCAGGAAAAAGATGCATTGTCATATTTACCTCCTGGTCTAGGGGAGTTTGTCATTTGTCCAGTTTCTATAAATGGCTTTCAAAGCTTCATTTTCTCTGGGAATATTTGAAGATGCACAGGAGGTGCAGAAGACGGATACCATAGTTTATTAGAATTAGGAATTAAATGCATTTTAAACATGTCCTCAGCACAGGAAAGACATGGACCTGTTAAAGTGGGTCCAGAGGAGGCCACGGAGATGCTCCAAGTGCTGCAGCACCTCTGCTCTAGAGATAGGCTGAGCAAGCTGCGGTGTTAACCCTGGGGAAGAGAAGGCTTTGAGGAGATCCCAGCACCTTTCCAGTCCCTAAACGGGGAGTACTAGAAGGAGGGAGAGGGACTTTTTGTACAGGCAGATAGTGGTTGGACAAGGGAGAATAGTTTTAAATTAAAACAGGAGAGATTTAGATTAGATGTTAGGAAGAAATTCTTTACTCAGAGTGTGGTGAAGTACTGACACAGGTTTTTCAAAGCTGTGGCTGCCCCATCCCTGAAGTGTCCAAGGCCAGGTTGGACACGACTTGGAGCAGCCTGAAACAGAGGAAGTGTCCCTGTCCATGGCAGGGAGTGGAACGAGATAAGGTCTAAGATCCATTTCAAACCAATCTATTCTGGGATTCCATGGTTCTGTATAGAAATTTGCTCATGACTTTCCGTGGTATGAGATCAAGCTATTGGCTAAAACCCCTGTCCTTTTCATAGATAACAAGGATTCAGAAAATCTGGGCTTGCTGTACAAATCCAAACCCAACCCTTCCTCTGTGTTCCTATCTTCAGCTAATTTAATCTGGATTCAATTACATCTTGCAGGCCCGTCTCCTGCATTTGCATTTACTGCTGGCAGTAGAAGCGTGAGCTACAGCATGGAATACGAGGAGTATTATGACAATTCTGATGAGGAAGATGATGAAGAATACGAATCCGGGAACTACGATAATGAAAACAATTCTGAATAGTAATTTTATACATCTCTTGTGCAAATCCTTTCACACTGTTATATTTACCAGTAGTCTCTGTTCTGAAAATGGCTCCTCTGATAACACACATACTCACTTGTGTATCCACCTTCCCGAAATGCAGCTTTGGATGAAGTGTATCATGCTACTCACCAGAAGTAAAAACATTTGTAACACCATATATTTAGACTATTAAATAAAATGCTTCAGTGTGCACCTTTCTACTAAGTATGCCAAAGGGATGCGATTTTATATTAATTTTTAAATTATCTTGTAATTTCTTTCACACATTCTAATTTGTTGAGCAAAAATGCCAACAGTTAAACAAAATTTTTATTTTGTATCAATTTTCTTTTTTTCGGTAAAGTACTAAGAAATATCAAGAGATGGTTCACATGGCAACAAGCCTAAGTAAGTATGGAGGTTGCAAAACAGTCTTTAATCTCCTTAGTTGATGTTTTCTTGAAAGTTTCAGCAGGATTTTCCTTCTCATTTGAAATTTTCTGTATCTCATCAAAGGTGAATTATCTGTCTTTTGGGGAATGTTTTTGTTTACTGTTAATAGATACATGAAGCAATCACAGTCTAAAGGCAGTAAGTACTGTTTTGCAGTCAATACTCAAACACAGCCAGAAAAGATTCTTTGTGCATTCAAACCTCTGAGCACACCTTTGGGCTCCTTGTAACAGCTCCTGCATTGCTCCCCACGGCAATAGCTCCCTCCCAGCAGTCTCGGAGCAGTTCAGGGCTTGGGATCATGATCACCCCCCTCAACAGGATGCTGGTTGGTGGGCATTCCTGCAGTTTAACAGCAGCAGCTGCTCTATAGCTCGATGCATGCCCTTCAAAAACACAGGAATTGCGCTCTGCAGCCAGGATCTGTGTTTTGTCTGGGGCTGTGAACAAGCTGCCCCTATCCCAGAGCTATCAGCATTGCCAGGCTGCTGAAAGAGCAGCAAACCACCAGAACACAAGAACGTTGTTCCAACTGACCCATGAACCAGACGGCAAAGGAGTTGGAACCAAAAGCACAGCACTTCCGAGGGCTGAGTGAGCACCCCGAGAAATTTCTCCAATTGCTTTTGTTAACTAATGATATGAAGGCTGGCTCTGAGTTAATGGGTAATGGAAGAACCAACCCTGCACTTACACCTTTGGTTCCCACTGGCTGAGGGCAGATGAGCAGCAGTAAATTACTGCACATGTTCAGGACTAAGGCAGCAGAAGCTCAGGGAAAGCCTGGGAATGAGCAGGCTCCTTGGGCCGAGGCACAGCCCCGTGCAGGATCCTTGCACACACAGAGCTGCCCACCAGCTGGATTCAAGGTGACAGGAGCCTTTAAGGGCGCTGTACACACACACTGTGCAGGATTTTTAATGCATATACACTGCCTCACAAATTCTTCTTTTAATGTGCTATTTGTGCCCTTCTTTGCTATCAGAAAGATTTTTCTTTTCAATTTGAAATTCTTTAAGAAATTGGCTATAGACAGTGTTTGCCCTGAGGTATTATTGACCTCTGTCCAGCAAACAACCAAAGAATAATTTATCTCATTTCAGGCTTCATGGGGTATTGTCAGCTTATGAGAAGAAAGTGTGTCATTGTGTTATTGAAAAAGATTAATTAGTTTTAATTAGGAATAGGAAGTGGCTTCATATTTAATTACTGATTTTGTTTTTATGGATTCTTCCTGATCTTCTTAGTGATATATTAATAACTTTTTTTGTTTATCCACTATATATTAACTTTAAATTATCTGATAGAAATGACTGATTACTTTTTATGGAACTATTTAATATGCAGACATATCCTCAAGATCAGTTGTGATCTGCATTGCAAATTAATGAATTAGATTACTAAAGTAATCACTAAATGGTGGCAATATAGATTGGTATGATATAGTACATGGCAAGAAAATAATTTTGAAATTATTAGCCATAGAAAGAAATAAGAATTCTTCAGGGCCTTTTGCTGTTGTTAATGGAAAATGGAAAACAGAAAGAAAAGAATGTTTGAATGACAAAATGTGCAGCAGAATTCTAGCAAATACCTGCAAATGTTTGTCCTGATTGAGTATGTCTATTTAAGAAAAGCTAACTGTCCCAAAACAAAGAATTCTAAATTAAACACATTGCATTTCTCTTATATATATTTTATAAGTTCTTGTAAATTGTCAGCCATTCCTTTCAGTAAGAAAACTGCATTTTAGGAAAAAATTCAGTGTGATGCAAAAAAGAGGAACACTGATACCTTGAAAAAATCCAGGTTTTTTTTTTTGTAGGAGGGGACACAAATGGCTGGTTTTGTGTATATGCTTTAATCAAGTATTTTATTATTACATTTAAAAAAGCATGGAGAAGGTTCAGTCCTCTCTACGCAGTAGCCTGGAATGGATCTCAATGCATTGTGAATGCATTGCCTGTAGCAACAGATCTGTTAATGTAACCCAAAGGAGCAGCAAGTTCAAGAAGGGAGGTTTATTCCACCCAGTGGGGAATGAGCCAGGCTTGAGCTGAAAATGATGTATTAGTCCTGGTACTGTATTTCACAAGGCACACCTAAAGCCTTCTTTAACTGAGCTTCCACAGAAGACTGTTAGACTTTGTGACATGCACATCTGAACTTCATGGCACAGCTTCCTCCTGTCACACAAGCATCTTCACTGTGTCATTTCCCCCTCCCTTGTGAAGGTAAAGAAATTGTACAGAAGTTGCTAAAGAAATTCTTCTGCTTGAAGGCAAGACCCTGACATAGGCTGGGGTACTTTCATAATCTAATATTATTACTTGCTGTATTCAAGTTGTGTCTGCTATTAGTCTAGGAATCCATTAATTCTTTAGCTGGAGAAATTTTTTTCCCCTTAAAATTATCAGGATATAGCTGGCAGAAATTGGATGTAGAAAGGCAATTGTCTGTGTTCCAGAGATCCAAATTATTCAAGTGATGGTCAAAGTGGGTGCCAGGGCTGCCCTGTGCAGCTGAACACAGTGTGGGCTCCCTGCCTGCCCTGTGGAATAGCTTTGTGCTCTCCCTTCTGTCCTTGCTGAGCCGTCACCTCGGGCAGTAGACCCAGGCCAGGGGGACAGATGTTTCTGGCCAGGAACAAAGACATTCCAGACAAGCTGGAAATTGGCTCATCCTGCAGGAAGCCCAGCTCTCACTCACAATTGGATACATATGCTATCCACAGACCCTGTTCTTGAACTATTTGTTTATTTATTAACCCCATTTCCATAATTTTGCTTCAGACAATTAATGAAGGGGTTTTTTTTGTATAAAAGCATATGGTTCAGTGATCCAACTGTGATAGTTAATGTACAAAGAAACCACTCTTTCTACCCTGATTAAATTGTCATAGTAATTGTTTCTTGACCCCACTGCTGAAGATGAATCCAGCAAATACACCCAGTTCATGTTTTCCTTCCAGGTCTAAAGCAATTTCCATTTCCAGAAACATTCTACTGGTGCGGGCCCCTTCTTTGGGGTTACCGGGCTTCACATGGGAATCTTTGCATTGTGGTCCACAAAGCATCAGGGAAACATCAACTGCTCAGGCCCTTTATCATCGCGAGGCTGCAGCCGCGCTGGTCCGGGGGGATCTGGCACCGCCCGTGTCTCCACCGCCCCCGCACCGCCTCCGCCCGTGTCCGCCCCCGGTCCGCCTCATGTCCACCCCGCGGGGCCCGCACACTCCGCACCCCCGGCCGGCCCCGGCTCTGCCGCGGCCCCCGCAGGGCCCGCCCGCTCGGAAGGATGGATGCACCGCTCGGAAGGATGGGTGCACCGCTCGGAAGGATGGATGCACCGCTCGGAAGGATGGATGCGCCGCTCGGAAGGATGCGCCGCTCGGATGGATGGGTGCGCCGCTCGGAAGGATGGGTGCACCGCTCGGAAGGATGCACCGCTCGGAAGGACGCGCTGCGCGTCCAGGTGGGTGCGCCCGGCGGGACCTGGGCTGGTGGCCGGGGAGCGCCGGGCGTTGCGGGGACGTGCGTGGGGACGGGCCGGAGCGCGGGGGGAGGAGGGAGGCGGTGCTGAGCTCCGCGGTGCTGCGCTCAGGTGGTGCGGGATGCGCAGGGCCGGCCGGGCGGAGGGCCGAAGGTGCCCGGGAGCCGCCCTGCCCGAGCAGCGGCGGCGGGGCCGGGGCCAGCGGAGCCGAGCCGGCTGTGCTCGGGGCCGGGACTCGCGTGGAGCCGGGATGCTGTGCGGCACCGGGACGGACGGCGCTCCCGTGCTCCCATCGCCCGGCTCCCAGCGCTCTGCTCCCCGCGGGCACCACGGCGGCTCCACGCCGCGGAGAAGCAGCCGCGCCTGCTCCTCCGTGCCGCTGCTCCCTGAAGGCGGTGCTGGGCTCCTGTGCCACTTCTTCCCCGAAAACCAGGGGCTGTAGAACCTGTCCGAGATGAACATCAGCCGCTGAAACAGCCTCGAACGACGGGGAAAGGAAGCGGGGGCGGGAAAGGGCTTCGGGAGACACCCACTGAGCTGTCAGGCATGTGCCCGGCATCCCTTGTGGCTCTGCTCCACTGCTGACAGCAAGGCTCTGGCAGCATGAGAGAGGTCATTTTTGGCATTTATTTAAATACTTGAGTACAAGGCAGTGCACATAAAAGGACCACTAAATTAAATTTTTTTCCCCTCAACTGTGACAATTCAAGAGTTATTCCTGTCAAGCTGCTCTTGGGTAAAGCTGGTTGAACTTTATTAATAGAGTGTTTTCAGTCAGCAAGTGTTTAAAATCAAAACATTTGTGGGAATTTTTCCGTGTCAGCAAAGCTTCGATTAGGAACCTCTCTGGTTTCCTGCCAGTTTGCTTGGCTCCGTGGCTGCCTGCCTGGTGGGCCGCTGCAGAGCTGGGCCTCCAGCATCTCTGGTTCTTGGTAACTTTGACAGGCTGCTAAGAGAGATGCCTGGGACTTCAGGGAGGTGGAGAGGTGGGACTAGAACCACCCGCAGAATTTTGTTCAGCTTATTCTTGAGTGTTATGAGAATATGATAAG